CACGCTTACCTTTAGAAACAAATGATCATTTCAATAGCTTCCGATTGTTGAAACATTATTTGTTAATTTCACATCAGAGGAAAATACAACTTTAACGAATTTAATTTTCATTGACATTTCATTTGGTTATTGTAAGGGCTTTGTCACCTCAATTTGATAGAAGAATATTTAGCTGATCAAGCAGCGTTTTCTTGCCACATCAAACATCGTTACAATGTTAGATGGAAACTGTATTATGCTAATACGTGATATATGCGATACAGATACATGCAGAGAACATTCTTTTTCAATACGTATTATCTAAACATGTTCAGTGTTAGTGATGCAATCACTAAATATCCCCCGCCTGTGTAGCGCTTAACAAACACCTGCATCTACACGTTACAGAGACAGGGGATTTGGGTAGTCCAAGCATCGCTGTCAACTTGGTGATACATTGTATGTATACCTAAAAGGTTATCATACCAAATGTTAACGTTAAATATTAAAACGTCAACGCTGGAAAGAGTCTCGATTATCCGTCGAACAGATTCTGTCGGTCGTTAAAGGCAGAATGATAGTTAAACGTAATCGAATGGATCACTGAAAATCAGGGGAAAAAACACGAGGTGTTTGCAAAAATGGGTAAATGTGTGATTACCTAAATATGTAATCGATAGACATGTCAAATATGTTTAATTCACACATTCAACACATAACATCTTGTTGTGAAGTAAAATGTGCAAGTGTCGGGGTTGCAGCGGCGTGCTATATTTAGATTTTGGCAGATTTAGACAGACTGTTATAGAATGATCTGGAACGGGCTAGAACTTCCAGAACCATCTGCCTTTGAGTTATAAGTGAGAAGTTATCATGCCACATTACATCTCAAGTCACAATTATCCAGCCTTTCTTCCAAATTGGGTTATTGTTTCTTAGAGGTGAATATAACCAGCATTGTATATTATTACCTCAAACTTTGTACTGCCAATCTAGTTTCTACTGCAAGAGTGATACAGTTTAGAGATTTTGTGTTTGTGAACTTTCTTAGTTTTAGAATACATTTGTTAATTGCACCACATTTTTGTTGTTTTCACATCTAGTTCTTTCACGGACTGATTCCCGGTTAGCCTTTAGTTTCAACCTGGGAATCAACAGTGAGTGAGTGAGTGATTTTACGCCGCTTTTAGCAATATTCCAGCAATATCACGGCGGGGGGACACCAGAAATGGGCTTCACACATTGTACTCATGTGGGGAATCAAAAGCGGGTCTTCGGCTACCTCATCAACACGTAACAATATATACATACCTGCAAATATTGACCGAAAAGTCAAACATTTTTTGACCTCATAAAGGTCCAACTTTGATTACCATCCCAAAGGAAACGTTAATATCAGGAAAGAAATGACATTCTAAAGATACTTAGGAATACAGATAACTGGCATGGTCCATGTGCGGAAATATTCCAGAGATTTGTACTGTAGCGCGTAGGTGGACACCAGTTTATTTACAGTATCCATTTAGAGACTAGGACGCTGGCTGTCGCAGAGCAACCAGACGGCTACCCCACAGTCCAGGTGTCTGTAGGGAAAACAGCGCACATAGTACTTCAATCATTTCATAACGCAGTTATCATATTGTTCATACCATTCTGAATGACTAATGATTTCAACATCGGTTAGAAGTGAGTGGGTCAGTTTCGTTTGATGCCAGTTTAGGATGTATTATAGTCGTTTCATGCCGCGACATCTTACGTGGAAGGTCAACGGGGAATAAAGTCCATGTTGGCTGCAACACCTGGACGGTAAGAGATTCAGGGCAATAGCTTCACTACAATAGCTTTAACTGTACAACACCTTCACTACAACAGCTTCAACATGTACACCAATGACTCCACTACAACAGCTTCAACATGTACACCAATGACTTCGCTACAACAGCTTCAACATGTACACCAATGACTTCGCTACAACAGTTCAACATGTACACCAATGCTTCGCTACAACAGCTTCAACATGTACACCAATGACTCCGCTACAACAGCTTCAACATGTACACCAATGACTCCACTACAACAGCTTCAACATGTACACCAATGACTCCACTACAACAGCTTCAACATGTACACCAATGGCTTCGCTACAACAGCTTCAACATGTACACCAATGACTCCACTACAACAGCTTCAACATGTACACCAATGACTCCACTACAACAGCTTCAACATGTACACCACTTGCTACAACAGCTTCAACATGTACACCAATGACTCCACTACAACAGCTTCAACATGTACACCAATGACTTCGCTACAACAGCTTCAACATGTACACCAATGACTTCGCTACAACAGCTTCAACATGTACACCAATGGCTTCGCTACAACAGCTTCAACATGTACACCAATGACTTCACTACAACAGCTTCAACATGTACACCAATGGCTTCACTACAACAGCTTCAACATGTACACCAATGACTCCACTACAACAGCTTCAACATGTACACCAATGACTCCACTACAACAGCTTCAACATGTACACCAATGGCTTCGCTACAACAGCTTCAACATGTACACCAATGACTCCACTACAACTTCAACATGTACACCAATGACTCCACTACAACAGCTTCAACATGTACACCAAATGCTACAACACTACAACAGCTTCAACATGTACACCAATGACTCCACTACAACAGCTTCAACATGTACACCAATGACTTCGCTACAACAGCTTCAACATGTACACCAATGACTTCGCTACAACAGCTTCAACATGTACACCAATGACTTCGCTACAACAGCTTCAACATGTACACCAATGACTCCACTACAACAGCTTCAACATGTACACCAATGACTTCGCTACAACAGCTTCAACATGTACACCAATGACTCCACTACAACAGCTTCAACATGTACACCAATGGCTTCACTACAACAGCTTCAACATGACTCCACTTCGCTACAACAGCTTCATGTACACCAATGACTACACCAATGGCTTCGCTACAACAGCTTCAACATGTACACCAATGGCTCCGCTACAACAGCTTGAACATGTACACCAATGACTTCGCTACAACAGCTTCAACATGTACACCAATCCTAACATTTGAAATAGTAAAGAGATTTACTTTTCTTTTAGTAATCACGTGCATGACTAGTATTGGAATTATGACGCTGTACAAATATACTCTCTATAATACCACATACACTTCCTTAAATGCGGGAAAATATAAATTTGAATGATATTTATAAGAAAATGGACATTATATGAAAATGTACGTACGTGCATGTGTCTGTGTTTATGTGAGTTTGTGTTTTTTATTTATGTTTGTTGTCATTTTTGTGTGCACAGGAGAAAACAGATTACCACAGTTTTCATTTGCAGTTCCTGTCAGAGTTATAGGAGATGACACTTCCTCCTGGAATTACCGATATTATAGCACCTACTGTGGAAACCGACAACAACGATGATAATTACCTCTGATTAACCTGCTCAAATGTACGTCAGGCTCAATCCAGCCCTCTCTGTATTGGGAATATAACATTGGAAGTTACAGACGTGTGTCGGTGTGAACAAAACCAATTATTGACATGGTTTGGTGGTTAATTACAACCTTCACCTGTAATTTATCACTAGTTGCCACATTAAGGTGACTTGTTAGGTCATATTGTATATTACAGTTCTGTTTCTGTACACGATGTGTATGGGTCGGATGTACTCTTCACTGTTTCAGAACGAGTAGTCAAAGAATACATTATATTTGTCATACTGAAATTGTTGCTGTTGATCTATAGCGAGTTTTATTCATGTATTTTATTTGAGGACAGGTGTATGTTTTACCAGCGACCAAGCCGTAATTAAAAATCCACTTTTGTTGAACAATATTCAGATTACCAACCTACCTCCCCTATCTCCTACCGTGGCCAAGCGCTGATAGATATACTGGTACCAGCATGGGCAGGTTGGACAATGATTACTACATTGTAAAAATCAACTGTTCAGAGCCAGGAGACTGATCAATATGGAATTAGAATAGGGTCAAAAGTATTTTGACATTACATTTTATATCATGACTGGTTTTCAGTGATCCATATAATCTCCCCACCAATCTTTCCAGTTACACGAAAAGGGAGTGACTTCTAAGGATGGTCAAGACTTGATATACGTTTAATGTTGATGTCAATACAAACGCAAAGTAAACTGTCTTTATTGTGTAAATGGCTCATTAAATGTAAATCATTATGTTACTGGGAATTGAAACCTCTACGATCTAGATACCGTGACAACAGCACTTTATGCCGATCGTAAGACCGACTTCAAGGGTTTGCTTTTTTGCAACTGTTCATTATTGTCTACCTTGCAGTTTTTAAAATCAAATCTCTATTTCAAACATTTCAATTATCTATTTAATTGTCTATTTAATCAATTACAAATACAAAATACAAAACAGTTGACGCCAGAGAACCAGTCTCGATCATCCGTCAAACCAGACATAACAGCCAAATCACTGACGATCAGTAAGGACTCCAGGTGTCGGCAATCAAGGTAAGCTTGGTCCCCAGTACTGGCAGCAGCCTACACTAACAATCTGTATGAAACATAAGTGCTTGCTTGTTGGCAGTAGGACGGCGGTTAAAGTTCTAACTAAGCAATCAGGTGAAGGACCAGAAAGTACAGTGACACGATGAGGAATGTACTGATTTTGTAAGTAAAAACAACATATTAATTATGAGTTACATATGTACGGGAATTAGCAAGTAGTTATCAAGTATACCAAAACGTTATACCCAATTCACTGACAGGCTCGCTAATCAGAATCACTGTCTCACCCGATTCTATTCAAGCACGTGCCAACCGATCAATTCCTCCGCCACTGAGGTGAATCTCCCACCCGATTGGTTTCCAGCAATGGCAGGAAGTGCGGAGGCCGACAAGCATGGGCTAAGCCTGACAACAAGCAAGCGTGGGCAGAAGCGGTAATGACAACCTACTGTAAGCAGAATCGTCAGTCCCCATGTGAATTTGAGACATGCTGACCGTGTTCTACCTTGAGGGGAAACTATATATGGCTATGCAATGTAGATCTTTATAGCAGCTAGCTGTTGATACCACTGCACAACAAGTTGAAACGTTTGACAAGTGTGCCGGTGCCGCTTGGGCGAGAGGGCTCATTCCCAGAAGACCATAGGACTTTCCAAATGATCACGCACGGTTTATTAGTTGTGTTCACTGTACATCTGACTGTATTCTTACCTATCTACCATTTTGCCTCGCTTCCGCAGACAACCAATGACATAAAAGAACATTACTTTGAGAAAAGGCAATCACTAGGTAAGTTGGCACCTGTCTGTTTTCATATTGATTGTTGTTTCCTTTCGTTGCCGACAGTTGTAACGAAAACTGCGAGGTAACCACTGACTGCCATTGTACAAAGCCGACGTAAGCTTGTATTTGCTTAATTCCTTTTGATAAATTCTTTTATATTGATATAACAATGATACATACAATTCACCAAATGATAACCCAAGATTAGAAACGAGTCACTTATTAATATCAGAAATAGAATGTATCGACATGTAGCTATGGGGAAAATACCCATAATCGTTTTACGTTGATGTACATGTTTCTTGTGGAAATTCTTGCTACCGGTGTCTCAGATACGAAGATAACATTATAACAACTGTTTCTTCACCAATAATACATACACATCCTTGTGTAAAACACCAATCATATCCGTTGATATAAAGTTACAATGCTATAGAGTTCAGAACCCTAACATACATGTTTGAGCATTTTACATAACATTTCAACTTAATATATAGAACGCATTAACTGTGAACATAATAGAATAATATGTTTGAGTTCCAAAGTACCCACGTTCTAACAGAATAACCGTTAAGCGAACAGATCGATAAAATCGCAACCGTAGTAGTACTGAATGGACCTGTTTGTCATCTACGTTTGTACACATATCAATAGTTAAGTCATGAATACAAGGGTCGGTGTGGTAGCCAAGTGGTGAAAGCGTTCGCTCGTCACGCCAAAGAGCCGGGTTCGATTCCATACATGGGTACAATGTGTGAAGCCCGTTTCTGGTGTCCCCCGCCGTGATATTGCTGGAATATTGCTAAAAGCGGCGTAAATCCATACTCACGCAATCATGACTTCATAATACATAGGAATATTTAGGCTGCGTGTTTTTATTGTGGGGATAGTGTATGGATGATTTCTGTATTGTTCTGTACAGGAAAGATTGATATGTTTTGTGCCGTCCTCTTTCTACATGGTGCTGACTCCTCTGTTACCCCACTGTATTTAACGAACATGCTAAAAGCCATTCCAATGCTACTTCTCTGAAATAACTGATGCTGCTGTTTGAAGACTGATGTTTCCCCTGCAACGTATAGAATTAGAGAAAAGTTTCAGAAAAGATGATTACAAGACAGTATTTAGGCTACAGTAGTGTAGCCCTTGAGCACCTCTCAACGTCTTGGTTTCATCTTTAGTAAAACATGTAACTTTGGGAACACCAGGAACACAGGGTTCAAAGAGGGATGAAAGCTATGAAATATGTATCATGAAAACGGTTTTGTGATTTGCTCATTGGGTGTCTCTTTATTATTTCAGTTGTACCATTCTCACGAAATGGTTCACAAGTATGGGTTAGCAAAAAACATGTATAATTGAAAGTGTTCATACTACATTGCTCAGACAAAAGAAGCCCTTTTATAGGTTGTAAGGCGAAACAGGTAGGATACTGTTATATGTATCCTGGTGAATATTGGCATGAGAATTGGTGTAAAGCAACCCAGGCTTGTTGGGCAGGAACTAATAGAAAAATAATCGAATCTAAGACCAGACAATTCAGTGATTGACGCCATGAGCGTCGATGTTCGTAATTGGGATACAATGACATCAGACAACCATGTCAGCGAGCCTAACCACCCGATAACACTCCCTGATGCCAACAGATGTTCTGCAATACTACTACACAAACTATGCGTCTTGTCAGTTAAAACTGGTTCATGCTGTTGTACCTATTATGACCTATATTACCATGGTAATATTTACTATGGTAGAAATAATAATCATAAGGTCACTTATATAAGCCACGCCGGCATGCCCTAAGCACATGAATTTAGCATAATGGACTCAAGCTGCCTGTGAGGCACTAGGAGGTTTATAGTCGTATGACTTATCCCACCGGGTACCCATTTTCTGCTGGGTGGATATAGGATTTGTTCAATTTTGAACTAATATAGTTGCCTAAGATGAGATCACACGTGTGTCACGTGTACCTCATTGTTAGGCAGAAGTCATAGAAACTATGAGGAGTTAAGCTGCCAAAGACGGTCACCCATCCAAGGACTCTCCGTTGCTTAACTTCAACTTATTTATGACCCGGATCTGATTTCTCGAAGTATACTTAAGTTTTTATTCAAATTTCAAACTGAGTTTGAAAATTTGAAACTGATGAATTTCTAACTCAACTTCTAAACAAAAAGCCAAAACAACTCAAGTAACCTATCGACTAAACTTAAATTGTCTACTATGTTTGAGTTAAATATCGATTTCAATTTATTTCGGGAAATGCATTTGCTTGCGTTTTCTCAAATTTGTGTAAAAACGTTAACTTAAGTTAAAGCTTTCGAGAAAACCTGAACCCTATCCACAAGACCCTACAGCACCACTAAATATCCTTGTATGAGTGAGTTAATTTTAACGAGAATGCGTACCAGCTCATTGTGGGAAGAATGCCCGACAGGATGCAGGTCTCAGAGGTTCCCCACTGTGGTGGAACCAACGAGCACGGCTAGGATGCCACTTAGTTGGCCACTCATGTGGGACCCCTGAGCCACGCGTGTGAGGCCCGTTTGACACGCGTTGCACACGGGTGTGGTCACTTGTGTGCAATCCGTGACACACGCATTTCGGAGGGAACAAACTTGTGACCAAAAGAGGACCCATGTTCACCTAAAATTGGTCGTAACAGATCCGATGAAGTCTTTTTAGATGTGATCTTGCAGCAAAATAAGAGTGATGTGATCAATCAGACCCTTCTTATATATATGGCCATTGTGACGTCATGGGCACAGTTAACAGTTACTGTTCATTAGTTTTACCTGATGATGGGGTCGGAACAGGCCCCGAAACGTTGTATCAAAGAATAAAAAGGAGGTGAAATCCAGAACATTCTTTATGTTCATCAAAAAGGATCTTCTAAAATGCCAATCAAGCATCTAATGTCCTTTGGTTGTCCGCATTCCCTGGTCATCAGTATATTGCTTTATGGAGCAATTAGTGGTACCACCCCTCATCCCCTTCTAATAACAAGTGAAACTAACCGAAACTAGAAAATACATCTCCCGGACTGATCATCAGGGAATCAAATGTCAAAAGGTCGATTGGAGAAATTGCTAGCTGCTTCTACTACGGCCTCCCATGGATGGTAATGCCAGGCTCTGGAAACAGTTGTGGTCTGTACCCGGCGACTGTTAACCCTGAGGCCTTGATGGATCCGTGATTACGATCATACAATGTATGAGAAAATAACTGGGTCGTTTGTCTGTTACATCTCACCTGATTGTCTGAAAAGTGTTATCAAAACGTCCAAATTTAATACAGCACCAGGGCCTGATGGCATTCGAAACCGGTACTGGAAACTGTTCCCCTGTGTCCAAACACCATCACTTTTCTGTTTCATTTCTCTCGCGGACACAGGCGATGTTCCTCCATTGTTCTGCAAAAGTCGTGCAATACTCCTTTCCCAAAAATGGACTTGACTGATCTCCAAAACTTCCGCCCTATCACATGTTTGAATACACAATAAAACATATTCACAGTGTGAAATTATTTTGAGACAAGCGGAATTAATATCATGTGGATTCTCAAAAACTCAAAGCATTTGCTTACATTTTTAGCGTTTCGTTCTGTCAAAAAACTGTAAACCACTATCCCACATAACAGACTTAAGGGGACTTACATATCTATCTTCAGAGGTTCAGGACAATTTGTCATAAATGAAAGAAAATATCATTTGAAGTTTACCGAGAAAACAATGTGTGAAATGCTGGACTTTCTCACTGATAACATCTTTGTGAAATTTTGGGGTAAAACATTTCGCCAAGACGTAGGCATCCTCATGGGCACCAACTGTGTTCCCCTACTTGCTGATCTGTTTCTTTATGCACATGAATAAGAATTTCTGCTTGGGTTGGTAAAATTAAAGCAAGGTAATTTGGCCAAGAAGTTGAACTTAAGCTTCCGATACATAGATTATTTAAAATCGTTCAATAACCATCAAATAGCCACCTGAACTTGAAATTAAGTGAGACCGCCTCAACTGTTGCACATTTAGATCTATGCATTAAGATTCAGAGTGACAAAAACCTTTCCACAAGGCTGTATGACAAAAGGGGTGATTTTACTTTCCAATAGTCAACTTCTCTTTCATGTCGAGCAATGTTCCAACAGCTCCAGCCTTTGGTGTTTGATGCTTTCACAACTCTTGAGGTACAGTCGAGCATGCTCTTGTTATCAGCATTTCAAGGAACGTCATGCCAATCTTGCTCAGAAGTTGTTTGATCAAGGTTACAACATTCAAGGCCTAAGTAAAGCTTTCAAGAAGTTTTATGGTAGACATGTGTCAGAGGAATTTTCCAAATTTGATGCATCAGTGACAAGAATAATGTTCGATGCAATTCCTCATTTTGACTTATACCAATTATTTTAGGTGAACAAATGACTAGACCTGGCATATGTTATAACATGTGACACCGGTGGAGCAGGATACGCTTACCTTTTCGCGAACACCAGGTATCATCACTATTTCATAGTGATTCATAAACACATGCTCTGTCATCGTATCGCATGGTGGCAATCACTGGATTGTCTGGTTCAGACCCGATTTGTTTACAAACATAATCATAGAGCTGTAATACTGCTGAATCAACACATGATATAGTCACAATTGCACAATCGACTCTGCTTTTGACAGAGATTTCTTATGATTGTGGAAAGAGTTTTGTCGCTTCTATTTAAATCCTTTGAGCTTACTGCTCAATAAAAGGAGGGTTACCATCCCGGACCTCCCCAGCACAGATCTCCAACACCGCTTACACATCTCCTTTACATGGATGACAAAGAGCTCCTTGCCAAATGAGAAACTAATCTGTCCAGAGTCGGTCATTTGTGGAGAATCTTTCTGAGAAGCCATTGCATCATGCATATATGCAGTGTGTATCAGAATAGCAATCCCACCGACTCCCTAGCTTGGATGAAGTCGGCTGCTCTTAAATGTGAAACAGATGGCCTCTCTTTTGCTGCCCATG